TGCAAATAGGGGTTTTGGCCTATATTTATTTAATAACACATGAAAGTTATATAAAAAAATTATACAAAAAATTATATAAAAAATTATCTCTATATTACTACTTATTTTTTAAATTAAGCATTTAACCTAAAATAAGAGAGTGAAAATATTTTCCTCCCATTTTTAAGGTCACATGTTAGTTTAAGTGGGTCATATAGTGGTTTTCATTGCACCACACAATTAGAATTGGGAAGTTCCATCAATGTAATTAACGAAATTGCATAAAGGTAGATGAAAATAAAACAATTTTAAAAATTAGTCGATGATTTTAAAAGAAAACAAAAATTTTAAATTAAAATAAAAATAATAATAATTAATAGATAATTTTTTAAATTAAATTTTTTATATATAAAAAAATATAAACCTCCCACAATATCTGATGTAATCTGACATCTTGTATTTTGAATAATTTCTTCGGTGACGCAGCATACTTTATACAACTTTTTGCCCTTTTTTTCCTTTTAGGCCGTGCTTTAACCATTTATTAGTCTAGAAAGATGAGATATACACACTTTCAATAAATCAATCGTACGATACAAAAAAGGTTAAATCCAGTGTAGGTGATGAAATCCTCAAAGTCTTATTTTCTTTTATTAATTTTTTGATATTTAAAAATTATATTAAATTTTAATTAATTTAAAATTAAATCACAACTAATTTTATAAAGAAAAGCCTATTTAATGCTTATTTTTTTATTTATAAGATTAAATTTAAAATTTTATTTTTAAAAAATCAATTTTTTTTAATTTAAACCAATATATTATTGGTACTCCAAAGCCATATGGTCTGCCGGGTAGTGTGCTTCCCTAAAAATGTGGTATAGATCACATCGCCACTTCGACTGTAGTTCCCTGCATTTACATACTAAAGTTGGATATTGTGTTCATTAATTATTTTCCGGTTAAAATATCAATTTGATCTTTAACTTTTAGATTTATATTAAAATTATCTTTAAATTTCAAAAAATACTAAAATTATTCTTAAATTTTAATTTTTGATATCAAAATATAACTTTTGGTATCAAAATAATTCCTAAACTTTAATTTTGTATAACTTAGTTCTTAAACTTTAAAGATAACTATCAACTTAGAACTTGAACATTGATTACAAGTATCAATTTAGCCATTGAACATTAATTACATATCAATCTGATAAGAAATTGAAAATATATCACAATAAAAAAATTTGACTATTTGTTTTTATATGTCATTAATAGTTTAAAACAAAACAAATTTTATGGTAAACTAACAGTCATATGGCACTTTTATTAATAGAAGGATTATTTAGATATTAAAAATTAAAGTTTATGTATTTAAAAAAACTAAGTTAGTATTTTAACCCTATATCTCATCGTCCAGCTTTTGTTTAGCAAGCAAGGAGTCTGTGTCAACAATGACGCGCCCTTTCTCCCGAGCAATTTGCAAACCCTTCCATATGACAAATAACTCTGCTCGTATGGTGAAACCCACCCCAAGTTGCAGATATTATTAGCTGGACTTGAAGTTTGAAATTTACATTTTTTATTTTTTTAAATTAATAATTTAAAAACAATATTTATATTTATTTTTAATATTCTTTAAAAAATAAAAGATAAAACTTTTTATGATTAGGTAATTAAGTAAACTAAATGAATTATGATAAAATTAAAGTAAAAAAAATATTTGCCTACCTAAAATGAAAAATGACAATTAATTTAAACTAAATTTAAAATTAAAAAATAATATTTATTTTGAAATAGAAGGAGTATATATTACTTTATACAGTAATATACACTACTATATACTATAAAAATTCTCAATTTCCATATGTTTTATATACTATCATATAAGTACTTTATACACTAGTTTATACTAGTTTATACGCTATTATATGCTATATAAGTTCTCAATTTATATAAATAAAGATATAATTTTTCACAAGTTTTTTTAATTAAAGATATAATTTCATTTTTTCTAATTAAAACTATCGAGTTTAAAAGTTTCTAATAAAAAATATAACTTTTATAATTTTATTAATTAAACCTATCACATTTGAAAAGTGTCTAATCAATAATATAACTATACATATCCATTTAATCATTTTTTAGTAAACTGTAAAAGTAGCATCCTTGATTAGAAGTTTTTGAAAAAATATAACCTTGAATGGTAAAGGAAAAAAAAAGAAGCAAAGTCCTTAATTAAAAAAATTAAAAGTTATGTAATAAGAAATCTCCTTAAAGTTTCTAGGGCACCCATTGAGGGAAAACACGTCTAAATCTTTGCTAGATCTAGGTTTGTTTGGTGGGACTGGAGCTTTTAATAGAAGTCTTTTTAGAGAGAATTTGTTGTAAAAGTATTGTTTTTGAGAATTGTTGTTTTGAGAAGTTGAAAGTGTTCAAATAAAATTTGTTATAAAAGTACTTGGAGAGTGAAAAATTGTCTGGTGAATTTTTTTTATAAAAGATTTTCTAATTTTGAAATGACTGAAAAGAACTTTTTTTTTAAAAAAAAAAACATTGTTTCTCTCCTTTTTTAAAAAAAATTTTTTTATAGAGTTTTAATTCTTTTTTAATTTAATTACGTTAACATTGATAATTATAAATGAAATTTTTATATTTATAAAATACAATTGTTAGTAATTAATAATTTCATATTAATAGATAAATAAATGTTTATATTTTAATATTAAAAAAATAAAACAGTATATTTAAATCACATAGTAATTCATTTAAAAATATAAATTTATTATTCTTAATTAATTTTAATATCATTTAAAAATACAGCAATTCAAAGTAAAGCCTAAATGAAGAAAAATTGGTTTTTTTTTTTTTTTCTGTTTTTTAATATCAGCAAAATGAAAAAGTTGATTAAATCTTCCTTTATTCAGAGAGGAAAATCAAATCACTTTATGTTTTATTTTCTTCCTCCCTCCAATTCAAACCATATTTGTTGCTACTAACTCAATCACGTTGTAACATGTAATGCTTTCTTTAGTTAAATTAGTTGTTTTGTTTTTATCATTTTAGTCATTTATACAAAAAGAAAAAAAAAAAGAAAAAAGAAAAACCAAAGATTCTTGGTAAATACCCCACCCGCAAAACCATTATACTCAAATACGCTGTGCCATAACAATCATTACAATGGTGACATAAATTGAGATCCATTCTTACAAGCCAAAATACTGAAATAGCAATTCTTCAAACCAAGTTAAACAGAAAACATAAGAGAACATAAAATGAAATGGTCCAAACAAAACAGGATAAAAGCCTAGGAACAAACTAGCTAAAGCACAAGAAACCATTGTTGCAACTGCTACTAGCCTGAGACATAAAATACAAGATAGATAACCCTTCATCAGGTACGAAAGAAATACATGGTTACTGCCGGCTTCTTCCTTGTCTTCCATCTTAGAGCTTAAAGTTTCTCTAGCATCCCACCTTCTGTAAACAAATCCCATTATTATAAGCTGCAAGTAAAATATATAATGGCTCAATTCTGTGAAGTAGGGATTCCTAAACCTGCAAAACTCAATAAACTTCATAAGATAAATGGCTTTTAAAGTAAGGAAATTTAAGATAGGGAAAATAAAAAGAGAGTTCTTTAGAAACAAAAGCCAATCAAAATGATCAATTTTGTTGTATTCAACAGCCTGGATGTGTGATGATCACAAGAGTAAGTACCTAATTATACACAAAAAACCACACACAAAGGCAGTAAATGCACTCAAACAAAATCAATGCATACATTGATTGCAAAATTCTGAGCAAAATCAAGAGGATTGTAGGTTTCCAAAGACAGATTAATAGATATAAAATAAATCCCACCTAAATTTGGTGTGATTCTAAGAGTTAAAAAGCATGGAAAGAGTTGATCTTATGTTAATAGGCAAAATAGCAAGAAGTTAAGTACAAATTTTGAATTAAATGTCAGAGGAAATCAAAACCATTATAAAGGGTTTTTACCTAGAGAAAAATATCTGCATGGTTTTATCTAAATCATAAATGAGTAGGAGAATAGCTATATATTAGTTCAAGCATTTTGACTCCTCATTTAAAGCTTTTTTCTTTCTTTCTTTCTTTTTTCTAATTAGGAAGCTAAAAATAAAATAAGAGCAGCATACTGTGGAGTCACACACAATCAAGCACCATGAAGAGAATAAAAAAGGATAGGTTAAAAAAAATTAAAGACATTCACATTCCATATCTTAGAATTGTGAACTTACACACCACCGGCATAATGGAAAATGAGCAGTAAGCTACATTTATTGAATGCCTGGTCATAGTACAGTAGTAGTAGAAATATACCTACTTCTATTTTGGAAGTTGTAACATGACAATCATGAACCAAAGAGACAAAGAAAGAGAGAGAGACGATCCAGAAACTAAATCAGTATCCATGGACATCTTGCTTTAGAGGATGCTTTCCATGCTCACGGTGCTGACCACCAAAACGCAAAGAACCAATGTTCAACATTCTTATGTTAAAGCCTTATTTGCTCCATAATTCCATTACATGATTGAAACCATTCATCGGAAAGACAAATATCTTTAAACATCCTAATCAACGTACAACCCTTCTTTGTATTTTCCACTAATCAATATGAATTAAATTGCTTTAAAAAATAAGAAGAAGAAGAAGAAGAAGATAATCCAATAGCACAGAATTGATTTGACTGATTCAGCAGCGACCAAAACACAATATTCTATTCTAATCTTCTCCACCTTTCCTCAGCTTTCTTCACAACAAAAATTATTTCAATAGAGAAGAAAAAGTTACTGCAAATAGGAGGCAGAGCACAAAAGCATCACGATTTGCCAATTCTTTGCCACAAATCCATGAAGGTTATTATCCAAAAATGGAAACAACAAATTAAAAACTAAAGGAAAATGCAGAAACAATGGCAAAGTATAGGACACAAAGAGATCTGACATGAGGAAATAGAAAAAGAAATAGCAATAATCAATAAAAAATCTTCAAAAAAATCTTCATTCAAAAAGAAAAGAAAATAAAAGAAAGGGGAGCAACGAGAGCTTACTGGCAGTGGCTTTGTAGATCTCGATGGCAATGGGTTCACTACAGAACCAATTAAGAATGGAAAAATAGCACTCAAATTACGGATTTTGGGTGGAAAAATTGAAGAAAATAAGGGGAGGGGAGGAAGGGTAGCTTACTTGAAAATGTATCTAGATCCTTAAGCTCCCCGTAGTCGTCTCATGGTAAGCAACAACAATTAGGGATTTTCAGGGAAAAGATGAGGATTTTTGTGGTGGTCTGGGCGGTCGTCGGCGATGGTCACATGGTCTTGATTTAGAAGAAGATGGGGAATGAAAAGGAATTTTCAATTAGCTCTCTCACCAACTCACACTACCAACTAGTCATCATTCTTCACCACCAAATTAGTTGCAGAAACACCAAAAAGAACAAAAAAAAAAAATCAGAGAAAAGGAAGGAGACACATAAAAGAGAAAGGAGAAAGGCGATTTTGGCCCTTCTGTTGGCTAAGTTACTTTTCTACTTTGAAATAGTTAGGGAGAAAGTAGAAAAGGTGACTAGATGGTGGGGGTTTTCCAGTTTGCTTAGGAAGAAGATGGGTAAGAAAACGGGGAGAAGAAATGTTGTTCTGGGTGATGAGCCTAAATTTCATACAATTATGCATGGCTTTTTAGTCATGAATTTGAGTCTTCTATATTTTATTGGAATGATTTTATTTGGTTTTACATTGCTTTTATCTTTCTTTGTAGATAGAGGGTAAAACTGAAGAAATCGAGAATAAATGGGCTGAAGTGACAAAAGTTGAAAACATCAAGTCTGGTTCCATTATTTCCCCATTCGAAGACCAGAATTGAATTTTTTTCCTCCATACATGTGGGCACAGCATTGTGGGCTTTATCTCATTGTGGAGATGAGATGGGCTTTCTAAAGAAGGGCACATGGTTGGATATAAAAAGGGAGGAGGTCAACAAAACCAGAGAGGGAATTTTGGAGGCAACCGACAGAGAGACGAAAAGGATCTACGAGGCAAAACCAAGGGGGATTGCTACGTGGGTGACGAGGGGACTAAGGGCAACCACAGAGGGGATTTAATTTTGAAGAAGAAGACAAGTGCCACAGTGAAGGCTACAAATCTAATTCTAATATTCCACAAATAGGGTTTTTGCTCTTCTACACTTACTTTTTCCTCTGTTTGGATATGGAATTGTGGTTCATCAATTTAATCTCAAATTTTATCATGTCTAGTATGAACTAATTTAGCCATCTAAGGCTACGATGTAACCTAATCAATTTAATATAGAATTTCATGATTTTTATACTTTCAAGGGTTATTATTTTATGTAGGGTATATATTATTGTCCTTAATGCTTTTTAATGATTGGCCACCATTAAAACTGATTTGGAAAGCATAATTGAGACCGAGAGGAGATTTTATGCAATAGCTTCTAGTAATATATATCATGAATTGAACAAGCAAGAGATGGACCAAGGTGATTTGTGCAGCATTAGTGATAAGTGGACTTAATTTTCTACGTAAACTAGGGAATTTCATAGAACATAATGCATCTTTATCTATTTAAATTCACATAGAGATATAGTGGATTAATAGATGAAGATAGGTTTGGTATAACTTGAGAAAGTATATCGAATAAAATAGGAAATCTCGTTGTCACATGAATAATAAATACCTTGGAAGTATATTGATCTAAATTCTATATTAGTTGATTATGGTGAAGTCGGATGCCTTAGACTTTTAATTCTTGGTGTTACTCCAAGTTAATTTAGTTTTTCTTTAATTAGTTTAGTTATTTAATTTATTCAATTCATTTAATTTCAATTGTTCAAATAAAATTAGAATTCATTAATTTTGGTACTTAATTAGTCTACAGTCTCTGTGGGACGATACTCTATTTTTATCATTATATTACTTGAATGGACTAGTACACTTGCTAGAATGGAATTAGTTCATCAAGTTTTTGGTGCCATTTCTGAGGACTGTATTGATTCTAATTAATATCAAGTAGATTAATTCTAGTTTTAATTTGGATTTTTTTTAATTATTTAGTAGATGTGCAAGTTAGTGCATGACTCGTTCTCAAAATACAAAACTTGCACCTTTTGATCCTGAGATTGAGCGCACTTTTCATCAATTGAAAACCCAAAGGACAGCACTCGTTGTTAAGCCAATTGACATCATGGCTGAAGATCCAGTAGCAAATCAAGCCATTCAAACATTGAAGGAATATTCTTCACCTTCAATTGAAGGAACTGTTTCAAGCATAAGGAGACCAGTTATCCAAGCAAATAACTTTGAAATTAAGCTAGCAACAATTCAGATGATTCAACAATCTGTGTAATTTTGTGGGTTGCCAAGTGATGACCCTAATGCTAATATTGCTAACTTTTTAGAAATTTGTGACACTTTTAAATATAATGGAGTTTCTGATGATGCTGTTAGACTAAGGCTTTTTTCATTCTCTCTGCGAGACAAGGCAAAGAACTCGTTAAATTCTTTACCTGTTGGGTCAATCACCACATGGGATATGATGGCTCAAAAATTTTTAAGTAAGTTTTTCCCTCCTGCTAAAACTGCTAAGATGCGTAACGATATTGCCACTTTTGTGCAGTTAGATATGGAGTTATTATAAGAGGCATGGGAGAGATACAAAGAGCTACTCAAAAAGTGTCCACATCATGGTCTACTTATATGGTTACAGGTACACACTTTTTATAAAGGTTTATTTCCTAATAATTGTACCATGATTGATGCAGCTGTCGGAGGATCATTAATGAGTAAAAATGCTGATGAGGGTTATAACCTCATAGAGGAAATGGCTTCAAATAGTTATCAATGGGGTTCGAAAAGATCACACATTAAGAAAAATGTTGGAATTCATGGGGTTGGTGCCTTTACTGCTTTGACAGCACAAATTAAGGCTTTAAACCAAAATTTAACTAGGATGGATGTCTTAACTATACAAGCCACAAGCATTAATTGTGACTTGTGTGGGGGAGCACATCCTAGTTCTGAATGTCTAGAAGGTAATTCTTTTATTTCTTCATTTGAACATGCTAATTTTGTTGGTTTTAATAAGCAACAAAATAATCTATACTCTAATACATATAAACCGGGATGGAAGAATCATCCAAATTTTTCTTGGAGTAACAACCAAAATATAGTAAAATAACCTCCAGGATTTCAGCAACCACTTGAGAAAAAGTCAGATTTGGAGGATTTGTTACAAAAATACATTGTTGTTAATGAATCAAGGTTTCAAAGTCAAGAAGCAGCAACCAAGAGCTTGGAAGTTGCAGTCCAGAACCAAGGTGCATCAATTCAGAATTTAGAGGTTTAGGTAGGTCAATTGGCAAGTGTAGTTTCTGGAAGAGCACAAGGAGCGTTACCAAGCAGTACTGAAAAAATTCTTAGGGACCAGTTGAAGTTTTTACCTTTGGGAATTGGGAGCAAATTGGAGATGAAGAAAGCTCAAACAATGAGGGTGAAAAAGAGAAAGCTCCAACGGAAGAGAAAAAATTTTAAGTGCCATGTAAAGAATCTAAAGAAGTCAAGTCTTATGTGCCTCCAATTCCTTTTCCACATAGATTGAAGCAACAAAAGCTAGATAAGCAATTTGCTAAGTTTCTAGATATTTTTAAGAAATTGCACATTAACATTCCTTTTGCAGATGCTTTAGCTCAAATGCCTAGCTATGCTAAATTCTTAAAGGAGATCTTATTTAACAAGAGGAAATTGGAAGAGCATGAGATTGTGAAACTCACTGAAGAATGTTCTACAATTCTTCAGCATAAGCTTCCCCCAAAGCTAAAGGATCCAAGGAGTTTTACAACTCCTTGCACAATTGGAAATTGTCATTTTGATGAAGTGTTGTGTGATTTGGGAGCCATCATTAATCTGATGCCATTTTCTATTTTTAGGAAACTTGGGCTTGGTGAGGCAAAAGCAACAACAGTATCTCTTCAATTGGCAGATAGATTTATCAAACATCCACGGGGTATTATTGAAGATGTCCTAGTAAAAGTAGATAAATTTATCTTTCCTGTTGATTTTATAGTTTTGGACATGGAAGAAGACCGTGAGGTACCTTTTATCTTAGGTCGACCTTTTCTAGCCATTGGTAGAACTTTAATTGATGTGCAGCAAGGAAAATTGATGCTTAGGGTAGCAAATGAACAAGTTACTTTTAATGTCTTTGATTCCATGAAATACCCATCAGATATTGACTCTTGTTTTATGATGGAAACAATTGATGAAATAATTAATGAGATGTTGTAGGAAGATTGTCCAGACCTACTAGAGGCATGTGTTGTTCATTCCAAAGACATTACTGTTGAAAATGAGGACATTAGGGAGTATGCATTTCATTTGGAAGCTTGCCCACCATTCTTGAACTCAAAGGAGTCAAGTATTCAAGATTTTAGAGCTAATATGCCTCGGCTTAAACTATCACTTGAAGAACCTCCAAAACTTGAACTCAAGCCTTTACCTATTCATTTAAAATATGCTTATTTAGATGAAGATCTTTCTTTGCCTATAATATTTTTTCTTCTTTGACAGGTTTAATGGAGGAAAAGCTTCTTCGAGTTTTAAGAGAGCACAAAGGAGCATTTGGGTGGACAATAACTAACATAAAAGGAATTAGTCCCTCAATTTGCATGCACAAAATACTCATGGAGGAAAGCTACAAACCGAGCGTTCAACCACAAAGGCGTTTAAACCCACATATGCAATAGGTAGTGAAAGCTAAGGTAATAAAATTACTTGATGCTGGAATTATTTATCCTATTTCTGATAGCTCATAGGTAAGTCCAGTCCAAGTAGTTCCAAAGAAAGAAGGTATGACAGTTGTTATGAATGACCATAATGAATTAATTCCTACTAGGATAGTAATTGGTTGGCGTGTTTGCATAGATTATAGGAAATTGAATGATGCCACTAGAAAAGACCATTTTCCTTTACCTTTTATTGACCAAATGTTGGAAAGACTTGTTGGACATGCTTTTTACTATTTTTTAGATGGTTATTCAGGATATAATCAAATTCATATTGCACTTGAAGACCAAGAAAAAACCACTTTCACTTGTCCTTATGGTACTTTTGCTTATAGAAGAATGCCTTTTGGTTTATGTAATGCACCTGCTACTTTTCAAAGATGTGTGATGGCAATTTTTCATGACATGGTAGAGAAAATTATTGAGATATTCATGGATGATTTTTCTGTGTTTGGTGACTCTTTTGATGCATGTTTGAAACATTTGGACTTGGTTTTACAAAGATGTGAAGAGACAAACCATGTTTTAAATTGGGAAAAGTGTCACTTTGTGGTACAGGAGGGTATAGTGCTTGGACATAAAGTTTCTCAAAAAGGTATTGAAGTTGATAGAGCAAATGTAGAAGTGATTGAGAAATTACCCCCACCAACTTCCATGAAGGCTGTTAGGAGTTTCCTTGGACATGCAGGATTTATAGGAGATTTATTAAGGATCTTGCTAAAATAGCTAAACCTCTTTCTAATCTCTTAGCTAAGGATATTCCTTTTAATTTTTCTGATGAATGTTTGCATGCTTTTAATATTTTGAAGGAAAAACTTATAAATGAACCCATCATGGTGGCAC